CTAAAAATTCTATCTCCTTAGTTTTCAGTTTCTTCTTTTGCAAGCAATACAAAACTCTTCATCGAATTTCCTGTTTAATACTAACAAACCAGTCATCCACATCCTTTTTCTCACCTCTGAATTTCCTGCTTTTTCTTTCTCTCCATATGTGATAGATAGCTGCATTGATGACAGAATCTGCAAATTATTAGTTCTGTGAAAACTTTTGATTCACGCTAAATGAAACCTTAAACATCAAATGCCTCACAAATAGGAGAGAAAGCTTACAAACTGTATTGTAATGTGGACTGGACGGAATAATTTTTTCTTCCAAGAACTTGTATTAAAAATGAGGTAAAACGAGAAAAACCACATTTTACGATAGTTCAATCAGATGTTTTGTATTCTATCAATTAGTCTAAAATACTATTTCATACACATTATCTTTTACAAGCTTTGGTTCAGCCCAAGCAATTGAAGAAATTTCACATCGTCATGATTACATTCTATAATAGTGTTGTTCTTTCCATTTTGCTTATTTTGTTGATTTGCTCTTGTATTCTAACTTTGGTGAGCATGCTTGTGGATACTTCTTAAATAATATTTGTAAATCTATAACTTCAGTGAGCCTGCTTGTGCATATTGCGAAAGATTGCTAATTTTAACTTCATACTATAAGAGGTTTGAACTAATAAGCTAGTTAACTTAATTAAAACAATGAGCCCTGAGCTAAGCCTTCATTTCATAGTTGTATCCTTTCCCATTCCGACAACCCGAAACGATAGATCCAAGAAAATGATTGTTAAATTGTCGACCGACATGCTGAAATCTTATCATCTTAGTAAGTCAAGTGGTTTTAACGGTGTAGAAAAGACTTTAAGAAAATGGGATCAGAGAAAACGTTGTGCTACCCATGTACCAAATAAATAGTCATATTGAGTTTTGAAAATTTTGCAAAAATCAATAAAAATTTCAAAACATAATATGGATTACTTCCTCCACCCCATAATTATTGTCCAGTTTGAGTTTTCATTTCAATTTCAAAATATACTAAAAATGAAATTTCATACTGAACAATAATTTTCGCATAGAGGGAGTATTTGGTTGGAACAGAGAAGTAGTTAACAAGAAAAGGGATGAGCTGTTCTAGGTTTTTCCCTCTTTCACGTCATCCAAACTATCTTCATACAACAGAATTATATCGTATATTTGTATTAAGTTTTTTTTTTTTAAAAAAAATGGAACTGTGAATGGGAGGGTTGGGTAGGATGGTTGGAGGATTAGGACAAGAGATGATCATTATACGAGGAGGTCAAGATATCGATTCTAGCTGGGCAAATCTAATTTTATTTTATGTTTTTTAAAAAGGTAATGTTTCGGTTTAGGGACAAACAGAATATTTAAAGGAACTATTTTGGTTTCGGTTTCAGTTTCTCTCCGAAATTTCTATATTCTTTCTTCTACGGCCGGCAATGGCCCAACACCCCCTCATCGACCCGCCTTTGCTCAGATTTTATGATCAAATCCAAAAACGATACACAATCATTCAATAAAAACTAAAAGTCAAAGACCTCCAGTGATACACTCAGAACCAACTTTTTTTAAAGGAGAGCCAACTTTTCTTCTTTCAAAAGAAGAAGATGAACAATTGGCTGTCCGATTTTGACTTGTTCCAGTTGAAAAATTCACCAAAGGTCGACCAAAAATGCATTATTTACGTAGAGAGTTCCAAACTATTGGCATGTTCTCATTTGCTTTGACATGGAAGAGGATTTCCATCGTTGCTCTCTCAAGGGTATATGGACCTTTGACACGCACCGGATGCGAGTCCTAAAATAGACCACAGACTTTAATCCATAACATGAAAGTTCTATTGTTCCGGTTTGGGTTTCCTTTGAAGGTCTCCCCATACATCGCTTCAATAAGGACTATTAGTGGAAGGTTGCTAGTATCATTGGGATGCCTCTACATATAGATGTCCCCATCCTCATTATGTCACGACCTTCAGTAGAGCGCGTTTGTGTAGAGATCGATCTCCTCAAGGAGCATCCCATCCGAATCCGACTTGGAGTTGAAGGGAATCCCTATTTTTAATCAATTTTTTTTAGCAAACCAGGTTAGTACCTTGGGAATTTATTGATAAAGTAAAATACTTCCGGGGCAGTACGTAAGACTTACCCCGTACATAGAGAAACTGTCAATTAATGATAGTGATTTCAATATTTGTGAACTATATCAGAAATAGACTAGTACAGTGTAATAACAATAGAGGACGGTAATCATTTTCTCTGTCTGCACAATTAGCATCTTGTGGATCACCATTAACGGACTGCCGTATATGGTGGCATATTTCAGAATCCTAAATAGTGAGTGATACACAGAGAACTGCTGCCTCCAATTTATCGCCTAACTAAATCATAATCCGATACAGTTTATTTGTAGACCAGACTGGCTGGTTTCTAAGGAAAACCTGTTTTTTGAACCAGAGAACCGGCAAAATGATTTTTAAAGTCGATGGATCCGTAACCGGTATGGGAGAACTGGATTTGTGGCCGGAGATGAAAAGCAGGATCTGCGTTGTTCGTGAAGAATTTAGATGGTGGGTCACTCGTCATCTGGGTGGCATCAGATCGAAGCTTCTCTGGCCGGCTGATCTGGGGTTTTTAACAGATGGCTGCTTCTAGCGTTGGACCTTAGTGGCTGCCTGAAGAGAATAAAAACAGAGACGACGGCTCGATTTCAAATCAGAAAAGATCTACAGATCTCAACATATCTGGCAACGTCGCCGAAAATCCGTCTTGTTCTGACCGGCTTTGCACCAGCAAGTGGAGGCCATTCATCTGAATCTCAACGGTAGTCACGTCACTGCGGTGGCTGTTGATATGATCACTGGATATAAACTAGTCTAATTCAGTTAAATAGAGTATAGTAATTTTTCACGACGGAAGGTGTACATTCCATTGTTATCCTTTATTTAGTTTCCTATATGTTATTGTGATAAAATTTGTTGATTCAAAGTATTTCTATGTTGTAGTAAGAAACGGAGGTTATATTCTATTACCGATGTAATTTGTATTTACAGTGTAACATTACTTAGTTATGGTCATGTATAATATATATTGGAGTATTGTACTGTAAATATAAATTTTACATCCGTAATATATTCTATCACTCACGAATAATCTTGAGGTGGTTCTTAGATCCCCACTCACCATGTACACACGATGCTTTCCCCTTGACCAAGGAATATTGACCCACCTATTGGCTAAAAAGAAAACTAACTTAGTTTACAAATTATCGGAGGAGTTGATAAATTCCATTGAAGGTTTTGATCTCGTCATTGGATTACAAGGCAAAGAAGCCTCATTTTTTTATTTATTAGATTAATTTCTTTGTTTTGCTTTATAGAAAGGAAAAAAAATGATTGATAACCTGGTTATTAAGATTTTCAAATGCAAATTCATTCCCGAGGGTCGACAGTGTAAAAAGTCACCTTGAACCCCAATCTCAAAACCAATTGGATATAAATAAGGTGGCCCTTGAACTTTATAAGTAGATGACAGGTTATTTTCGACGGAGATGTGAGATTCTTTGTCCCAATACATTGTATTAACTTTTTAATTTATTTTTGGGTATAAAATGTGTTGGGCCTGTTCCCCTCACTGGGGTTCAGCAGATATGAAACCAAAAGCTAATTTGGTTTTGGTTTTGTTTTTTGACCGGGGAAAATAAACCTAATTCAATTGGGTTTTGGTTCTGGTTTTTTATGCTTATAAAAGCAAGGTTGCACACAACCTTTTACGTATGTTTTTTATCTGAGAGAGAAGGAGAATTAGGGCAGCCGCGCAAGGATTTTGTGCGAGAGAAAAAGAAAGAAAGTTAGGGTTTAGTTTTTGGTTTAACTCTCTTTTGGTTAGATCTTTTCAATCCTACTCTGTGATAGGTGTTTTGGAAGAGTATTATTGTAATCCAACTTTGGGTGAAGTCCTGTGTATCCACTGATTGGTGAAGACTGTTTTCCCATTATTGTGATAATGGAGATTTGACTGTTGTTACAGTCTCGTAGTTTTTCCCGATTTGGGTATTTCATGTAAATTCGTGGTGCCTCCTTTATTTTATCAGTTCTTAAATTATTTTGCTTGTTTGTTTGTCCTATTTTATTGGTAGTAGGAAAGGAAATTTTTCTTGGGGTTCACTTCCGTAATGTGTTGTGTTTATGCACTTTCCGCTACAACAAAATGTAGATAGAAATTTCTGACAGAAATGTTTATTCCAGATACCAATTGTCTTAGAATCAGAGACCAAAAAAATTAAACGAAAAAATCTTGTGCGACATGCGTGCTACTGTAATAATTTTAAGCGGACATTAAAATATTTGAACTCTCGTGAACTACAAGATCCTTTCTTCCAAATAGCACGATGAGACTTCATAGTAGGCAGGATGCAAAATCTTTGTACCGATGCACAAAATTTCCATCTCAAGTTAGATTCCAAACGCCTAATTAGGACTTCTTTCAACACAAAGATATCTCAGTATGTCCCTCTTTGTTCTTCTTTGGAGGTCACTCTTTTTTATTTTCTTATTCCGTATAGTTTGTTATAAAATTTAAATAATACATTAATCTATTAAACTGAGATTAACAAAACACCTATTATGGAAAGAAAAAATGATCCTGGGTGTTTGGCTTTTTTTTTCTTTAAAACAAATTAAAGCCCCACATTTGGGCCTATAGAAGAAGGAATTTAGCAATTTACGTGGATTGTAGGGAGCTCTTTTAGATGACCAAATAATGAAGCAATAGTAGCACCCTGTTGGACAAGAAATATCAACTGCATGCACTATCAATTTAATTGAGGGTGCACTATTATTTTTTAGGATGGACGCAATAATTTTAAAACTCAAGTGCACAAAGCTTCAATCCCCTTTGAAACCCTAATACAATAACAGAACACAAAAATGAAATAAAAACAACAACAATTTTAGTGAAATGGACGGCAACACATAAACTTGCTACAGCTAGCTACTTGCTTGGTGCATCACCATTAGCCCGAGTTTCCATTGCACCCTTCAGTTTTTCCGCGTCATCTGGAGCAAGAGACAAATCAGGGTCCACTCTTTCTCTGGGAGAAGGTTGATGATCAGCCTCCTCATAATCTTTAAGGTTCCAATTGGCTAGATTTCTATGGGGTTCCAGCATTTGTTTCTGGACCATCTCGATCACATCTTTCCAATCAGCCTGGCTAAGGCTATTGAGACTTTCTTCATTTCCAATGCATTCCAGCAACATCAAGGAGACCGCCATTTCCCTGATCTCCTTATTTGTCTTTTCCAAGAGGACTTGGACCTCCGTGATCCTTTCCCTGGTCCTTTTTGTTGTCCTTTCTGGATCATTTCTGATAATCGGATATGTTTTTAGAGAGCTAAGCTGATTGATCCTTAACTCCCTGCGTCCCAAAATTATAGTCCGGTTTTGATTTTCATTTTTAGTATAATTTGAATTAAAAATAAAATTTTAAAACATGACAATAACTTTGGGACATAGGAAGTATGTGTTTTGTTTGGGTATATTTATAGGGCAAAAGCTGGACTAACTACCTATGTTGATCAGTTGGGACATTGATTAATCTCAGAAGAACACAAGTTTCTTTTGGTAAGAAATCACAATAAATCTTTGATAAAACTCCCACTTCCACTTTTGGCTTCTTCTTTTTACCAAGAACCTGTAATTTTTCCTTTCTTGATACAAGGGAGATGCTGCAGTCTTTACTAATCCAATTTAGCTCAGATGTACTGAAGTCGCACGTATAACATAAGAAAAGAAAATGTTAAAAGGGACTTCATCTTATAGTAAGGGTCATATTTTAAATTTTGAATAGGTCAAAAGAAAAATTACGACCCACAATAAGATCATGTACTACCACAAAAGTCGAAATAATAGAGATTGTTTAATATTTTTAGTACTATGAAAGGAGGTAAAACACCCATAACATCAACTTATTTCGAAAGAGAGAGTTTTCATGTGGCACCAATTCCAAAATTGGCCTTAATTAAATCAATAGAGGTTCAAAATTTAAAGTCAATCCAACATGCATGCCTCCACTATGAAGTCAGTGACCCATGAATATAAAGATAATAATGGAAATTTTATCTTTCTATTTGAAATACATAAATGAGTATTCAAATTTTTCATGCATGCAAATTACATGTTACTACATAATTTGAGTTCATTATTATTATTATTATTATTATTATTATTATTAGTATTGTTGCTGCTGTTATTATTATTATTAACATCAGCACCAGTTTTAATATTATTAAAATTATTATCTTGTTTGCCTACAACAGCAGGAGCTCCTTAGATTCCTTAACAAAAGATAAAGAGTAGAAGTGATCGATTAAAGAGGAATGGGAGAGTTAAGAACTTATTAGTCTTATGGTTTTTTTTTTTTTTCCCATGGAGAAGGCCTTTTTTTTTTCTTTTGTAGAAAGATATTGAATATCACTTGTCTAGTTCGTACCTTTAACATTGGAGTATGAATAATGTCATTATCAATGAAAAGGAAAAACTTTTTTTCATGGAATTTCAAGACTAATTGTTTAGGGCTTTTACATATAGCTAGGATGCACTAAATCCACATTGTCAAAGCAAATAAGCAACACAATAAAAACAATGGTATAACGTAGTGTGAAATACATTTTTTTTATCGTAAAATATTATCTAACAGACACAAAAAGAAAATGCTTGTAAGTTCGAGGCACTAGCTAAACCTTAAATACTGAACTTAAAGTCAATGGCCGTCGACGACCAGCGATCGAAAGGGTCGTTGATTTGTTCTCCAAATAATATTCCCTTTTTTTGCTTGAATTGTTATTAATATTTTAATGGGTGCATTTCTTAAAATTTTAGTTTCGGCAGTAGGAAGCAAGCACGATAGCCATTTCTTTTAAATCAAGTAAAAATTTCAAGGAATTCAAATTAGAAACTTTCAAATATCCATTACTCGGAAAAAGAATATCAGAAATGCGCATACCTACGCCTCAGTTGTTGAAGAAAACGAAGCAAACAATGTGGTACATTAATGTCGTGCGAACTCCGGGCCTGTGCTGTTGCAGGGTATGTCTTCAACAAAATATCAACGCATCATAAAAAATTTTTTGTTCATCTTTAAAATTTTTGTATTGATAAAATAAATACGACCAACATTTATACTATTCTAGCGTCACAAATAAAATATTTTAATTTCAAACAAAAGAATATAATTTTTCAATTGCATAATAAGGTATAAATAGGACAATCATAATACAAATTTCTTATTAAATGCATGAACAAAGTTTTTATATAGTGTTATTGATAGAACAAATACTCCCCCGATGGATTGTTCAATCTATGACGACAACGGTGGTTTTTAGCACTTATACTCTTATTGCTTTCAATCAGGCATCTGATATTTTCTGTGTTGTGGGATTGATCTACATTTGGGACTTCTCAGGAGAGATTTGGATCAGCCAGAAGCCGAGGTATTGTCGTCCGAAAAGGGGTTAGCTGTTAATCATCATCATCAAGAAGTACGTTATGGGCACGACTATGTTTGGGTTCATACTAAATAGTTTGAGGACCCGATGAGTTAAAGAAATAATATACATTTCCCTGAAGAATTCAACAGGGGCCCAAAAGCCATATTGAGTTTTTGGGATTTAATATAACGCACACATAATCGGTAAACTAGTTTTGCCACCTACTGTGCAAAATCTTGGCATATGCACTCAAAACTACGAACATAAATATTTGGGCGGAATCTGTGCCAAATTGCAATCAGTTGATATCTTTTCTTTTTTCTAACGAAAAAATCGAATGTTTGACGATGAGAAAACTATTAAGGTTTGGCTGATGATATTGTCAAAACAAAAAGTAGTTCTTATTTCTAAACTATCGCTAATCAGTCCGTTCCCACAGTTTTTGCGCGAAGCATACTTTATTTCTCCACTCGGTCTCCTCTTTCATCTTCTTCGGTCTCAATGCCACCACCGACAAGTAGGTAATTGGACAATCAAACACTTGTAGCTTTCTTCTGTTCACCTTTATGCTTGTTCGGAATTTTTTTGCGTCAACTTAATGTTTTTGTCATCTTAACTTGAGAGAATGACTTGGAGATTATATGATATTGTTTTTCGGTGACGCCATCACAAACACAAGCTCTGACTTACGGTGACTTTGTTGTAACACAATCCTCAAATTTCCAAATCTGGACTGTTCACCTCTGTATAGATTGCTACATGAATCATGAATGTATTTAATTTATTCTATGTTTCTAAAAGTAATTTAAGGGGCGTTTGGTTTATTTGTGGATTTCACTATAGGGTTAGGTATAATGACAGGAAATAGCTAATATCGGTATAACCATTCAAAACTAGTCGTTTGGTTTATAATAAGGTTTAGTATCATTTTATTTTTTTCATTTCATTTATTGAATTAATGGCAAAAAAATTTAATTAATAATTTTAAAAAGTTAATAAATCTTTTAATTAAATCAGTTTGAATACTTTAGATTATGAGTTAAAAAAAGACTAAGTTTGATTGAGTCTCAATATCTCTTATTTCAATATAATTTAATGCGATAGACAAATTCTGAATTTGAATCTCAACTCGAATCATATATTAATGAATTTAACTTTTCATTTAATGATGTTTGTAATTTAAAATTGACTAAAATCTTTTCAAATAAAAGCATGGGTTAATAATTAAGAAAAACTTATTTTTATGGTGTGATAATAAATTTATACATAATATAATAGCATGAGAAAATAAAGGTCTGAAGAGAAAAAAAAAAGTAACAAAAATGAGAATCAAATAAAAAGGCGACCCCCTAGTGAGTTTGAAAGATTTCTATTTAATTAGATATTAATCCATTCCCGTATTTCATTCTCCCATTTCAAAATACACAAAAAAAAACACACCCTTAATCTAATAGGAATGCAGTTAAAATAATTGGGCCAAAAAAACATTCAACGAAAGAAATAATCAGCCATCTGGCATCATTCGGCAGGAAATTAAAAGGTGAGAAGAAAATATAATTTTCATATCAATTTTTATTAAACCTTAACGTGATTCATTCGTGGCCACTTGGAAACCGGCTACTACTCGGATGGATTGAATTAGTAAAAATTTCTAATTCTACTTTGTTGATATAAATCAGTAACCGCAAGCTAGTCCATGTCGACAATAAAGAAATGTGACGAGCTATTAATGACACCAAGGAAATTAGATTGGAGAATATCAAGATTCAAGGGTCAACCCGCTATACAACAAGGTCTTGAAGACCTGAGCCCTATGTGGTTCCATTTCAAAACTAATTAGTAATGAAAAGAATATTACATGACGTTTATATGTTGGTTTCATCTGTTACGATCCTTCTATGTAGGACAAGGGTACACGAGGAAATTTTATTCGTTCATTCATTTAACACGCCTCTCTGAAACCCAATTGACTTGTACGGGTAATTTTTATACCTTTTTTTTTAACTTCAAAACTCATTGACAGTGAAAGGAGTATAGAAGCCCATGGGATTCCACCTCAAAAGCAATTGACAATTAGGGGAGTAGCCCATAGACTTATATATTGATATCAAGTCTCTCCCACCACCGATGTGGGATACTCAACACTCCTCTGCAAGCCCAACGTCTTTTCTTGGGTTGGGCTTGTCTATTTTTCTTCAGCCCAGTCACCATTTCATGTCTTAGCCCTACAAGTTCTATCAGATCAGGCTTGGAGTCCGACTCTTGACGGGTTAGCTCTGATACCATATAGAAGCCCATGGAGTTGAATCTCAAAACTCTTTGACAATGAGTGGAGTAGCTCATAGACTTATATATTGATACAAAGTCTCTCCCATCACCGATGTGGGATGCTCAACAGGGAGCAGCACATGAGGGACACAACAATATTAATGTAAAATAAATTGGTTATCCATTTTCTTAAACTAGATATCCATCCAAATAATATATAAATTTTCTTCATTTCTGCCCATCAAAATTTAGTCATATTTACGTTCGAAATAAATGTTCCATATGCATCTCATTGGATAAATCTCGACGAGCACTATACATTTCATGTATTATTCGTTAACAAATTCTTCACGAATTGAGAGATATGCTTTTTTTTTCTTTCACTATTTTTTATTAATAATAATAAAAAAAAGGTAGGCGAATATACTAAACCATATATCAGATATAAATTTGATGTTAAGGTAAAGTTAATCCTTGTTCAATCTAGCAGACCGGTGAACTTGGATTGAGAGATATGTT